GCCACATATTGCATGATTCTGTTCATACAAAAGGTCCACAATAGGCAAATCCTTAGAAACAGAATAGCTTGCCTAAGGCTAGGGAGGATAAGCAGGGTGGCGTTGGTTTCTTTTAGGGGTAATGAAAAGTAAGTGTGGTTACCTGTACCACTCTGTGAATATGCTAAAAACCACCAAATTATATCCTTTAAATGGACAATTGTCTGAAATGCAAATAATGAATCAATAAACCTGTTTATTATATATACAATGGAAATAAAAGTAGTCTTTCTAGAAGTCCAAAACACCAACTACACACATTCTGGAAGACAGAGCCACATCTTAATAATTAGTTTGCATTAAAAAGCCCAGGGGCTGGGCATGCATGGTAATGAGCTACCAGCTAGATATGTGTCAACCTCTGGTTGACTCCACTGAAATGCTGAAGTAAACTGCAGCCAACTTGGTGGAAACAATCCCAAGAGGAGTGAGACTCTCACCACCCACCACTCCCATCTCACAGTTCCCCAGAAGACATGTCTCAGATGGCGACGTCCCTGCAAATCACCTGGGGATCCTGTTAAAGGGCAGGTCTGGGTGGGACCCAAGCTCCTACATTTCAACAAGTTCTCTGGTGATGCCTGAAGCTCAGAGATGCTAAGTAACCCAGGTCATTCATAATGAGGGACTGAAGATATGAACTCAGGCCTCATTGGCTCCAAAGCCAGGGTCTTTCCCCTGCAGCACTCATGACACAGGTTGTGGACCCCATGTTCCAGGGGAAACCTAGATCTGAAGGAAGGATCCAGGATAGGCTGGGCTCTGGAACCCACCTCCCAGTAAGAGCAGTCGGAGAATGAGAAATGCATGATCTTAAAAAAAAGACTTGGGAGATGTGGCAGCTGGCCACACACCTGGGAAGATGTGTCCTGTGGAGGAGCCATGCCTGCCTACCTAATGGCCCCAGGGCAGGAGCAGGCCTATGAGGAGATACCTGGGCCTATCAGTTTGGACTCCTTATGAAGAATGCCTGAAGAGTGGGAGCTGTCTCCAAAAAGAACCACTGGCCCAGGATGTGGAGGCCCCAGACTAGAAGCCAGTGCTCCCGAGGACAACCTCGAGGATCTGGACATATCTGTCAAGCATCTTACTAACCCTACCATAAAAGAGACATTATTTGCTATTATTATACAAATAAATCTAACAAAGACAATCTTTTGATTCTAACCAAAGGCACTTACTAGCAAGGAGACAAGGAGACTGATTTTCTTTCTTTTCTTTTTTTGTTTTAGTTTCTGTTTTAAAGGAGATTAATAAGTGTTAAAGGCACCTTAGTAGGAAACGGAAATGTTTTCCTCAATACGGTCAGTGACTCCCACCAGTGACTTTAGGTCTGCAGAGCACGGAGGGCTGGGCTGACTTTTCAGAGAACTGAAATTGCTTCACATTGTGATCCTAGATTTTATATTCACTATATTCCCTAAAGTTTACCTTACTAAGTATTTTATGACCAGAAAAAAAAAATTCAAACGAGCATCCTTTTCCTTCTTCTTAAATTCAACCACAACTTAAAATCACTCGGCAAACCCTGGACCTAATGGTCTAAACAGCCTTTCAACCACACATTTCCGACGCTGCATCCCCCCCTACAGCTAAATAGCCGTAGCTTCCTCAATGATCTCTCGTGACCCTGGTTCCCCTCGATGGATAAGCACCAGTGTACTTCAGCCGTGGCCTGAGTGGCCCCCGAAAAGAATGGAGCTGTAATTGCGCTGAAACATTATCGTTCCGTGAATGGAGCCCCAGGTCATGCCCACTTTCCGCCAGCCCACTTCAGTGCCAAGGCTGACTGCCTTCCGAGGAGGACTGCCACGGACGTCTTTTCACCCAGGTGATGTGCAAGCGCATCCTCCCTGCTGCATCTGTCACCACCAGTTGTCTGGGGATGGGCTGTGTGACATCGATCCAGTGAGGCAGGGTTGGGTTGGTAAAAGGAACAACTTTCTTACAATGAGGATAGTTCAAAAACAGACTAGATTTGCCTTCCTGTGGTGTTGTCTTCCGATGCATGAGGCATGCAAGCAGGACCCACCAGGGAGGTAATTCAGCTGCCAAACTCCAGCCAGCCATTGACGAGGACTCTAAAATCCTGTCCTTCCAGAACACAACACTCAAAGATGAGGAGAAAATGTGAAAGTGAGCCAGGATGGGAGAATATGCTGGTATCATGCCTGCTCTCAGCCCTGGATGGTCCAAAGCATCAGCTTTTCAGCCACACATCCTTTCATTCTCACAAGGACCCTGTGAAGTAGGTAAGATGCCCCCATTTTACAAACAATGAAACTGATGCTCAGGCCAAATAATTTACCTGGGTCGCCCAGTGAGTTGACTGAACTAGGATTCCAAGTCAGATGTATCTCACACCAAGTCCAGGTTCATCCTGCTCTACTCTGGGGGGTACAGGAGGAAACGAGAAAAGCAGAAGGCCATCCATTGATGGGAATCTGGAGTGCTAGGGAAAGCAGTTTTCATCTGGTAACAGGAGATCAGACAAAGACCACAGCTTCTTTGATGAGAGGAGTTCCTTTTCAATCTTTGAAAACACTTGAGATCAGTTACTAATTTTAAAATAAGAGGAATAACAAAACAAGGGGAAATAGAGGAAAGATAGGTCCTGTGGGAGGTATAGGGAAAATAAAGGAAGGGTGTTCTTAGCAGCTTATAGCCATGTCTCCGCAATGACATAAACCAGCCTCTGACTGGAGAAATAAGTCAAGAGTGAACCCAGGGAGCCCTGGAATGAGGGCACGTGCCTCTCAAGCCACCTCTACAGAAAGTGCATCCCCATTTTCTTAAAAGGAGAAGCTGGCAAGCTCAAGTACTCCCATCCCAGCAGCAGTCGGCCATGAGCAGACACCGCTCGCCACTGGGGAATTCACAAGGCTGGGATGTTTTTCATTTGCTCACAGGGTTATGGGGAATTACTGTGATGGATTCAGCCAGTTTATCAATAATTAACTCAAACACGGAGCTTATCAAACAGCTTCTGATCCCTTTAGCTTCCATCTAAACCACACAGACACACACAGCTTCACAAATACAACTGCGGGAGGAAAGGAACCAGCAACAGCATTCTAGAAGGTCAGAGCTACGTCCGTGAGTGAAATGACACATGTGTCAAGGCTGTGAAAGGGTCTGGGATACCATAGGCTGCTTCTGGGTCAACATGTTTCAAGCCACAAGAGGGGCATTTACAAATTGCATCTGCTTCTGAATACCAGCCTGAAGAGCATAAGGTACGGATAACACCTGAGTGTTTTTTGGAAATCGTACAAAAATGGCAGATACCGCAATAGAGCCCCAGCAGTAGGGAACCATTTGGAAACTTTATTTAAAGTGCTATTATATATAAGGAAAAGTCCAGAGTGAGATTTCTTGGAGCTTATGAATATTTATTATAAGACATTCTTGAAAACAACCAAAAAATTAAATATAGTATAAATAGGAAACAGATTTATAAGAGTCAGTCATATGTTTACATTATGCAAACTGGAGTTAAAGACCTATAACCAGAATATTGTTCAGTGCTGAAAAAAGGCAGGGAGAAGGGCTGCTGATATTTGGACATTTTCTTAAAATTGGCAAACGATATTTTTAGAGTTTTTTGACAATCTGTTCACTGAGGAGTGCTTGTGGGCTCATCTTGTTACTTCCACAAACCTGGTGTGAGAGCCACAAATTCAAGACACTGCTGAAGGCCTGGGGTTAGCACAGCCCCTGTTCCCAGCAGCCACAGCTTTGCCAGACAGCAAGAGATGTCCTGAAGACTGTCACCACTAGCACAGCTACTCCAGCCTTGGAGCGATGAGGATTCTTTGTCAAGATGCCAAAAAACCCCAGACAGCCAGCTAAGCACATTTACGTCTCCAGATTCTCAATAAGAGAAGCATTAGCCACAGTCTTTGCATGGAGTAACTTTCCCTGGTCAAGAATGTCCCTTTGGGCTTTGTGACACCAGCCACACAGGACATCCTCTGTGTACAAACCCCAGATGGCCATGTAAGGTGAAAGGCAAAAGTTTATCTCCAGGGGGGCTGGGGAGCTGAAGGGAGCCCCTTTTGCAAATTGCAGTTGAAGACATAAACCCTAAACTTTCAGATACCACATCATTTAAGGAGGGCTGACTAATTAAGGGTTGGTTTGTTTTTTTAATTGATTAGGAAAGCAATATAGGGTCATTGTAGGAAATCTGTAACACACAGAAAAGTGTAATAAAGGAGAAAATGTCTAAATAAGATTCAGCTTAAATCGGGACTCGGTGAGGTCAGAGACCAGGTACTTGGCTTACTGGTGCCCTGGCCTTCGGGTGGACTGCCAGGCCAGAAGCCTTCTCTCCTCCCCACCTCCCACTGCGTACTGCCAACTGCCTCAGAACCCCGCCCCTCAAGCAACTGAGCACAGCCATGCACATGAGCTCAGAGAACTCACTCCAAGGAGGTGAAATGGTCTCTCTGTAACACAGAGGAAGAATAAATGAGTTACAGATTACATACACCTCAACCACTGGAACAAAATGCCATCTAGTCATCCCCTTGCAAAAATCCCCAAACATGCACTAGCTGCGTGGCCCTGGGCAAGACCTCACTTCCTTCTCTGTATATGGGGCATGAGAATGGCCTCCATGCTCCACAGGGCCGTGGGGACACTCCAATGACAGGGCTAAACCCTGCACATGCATCGCAGGCGTGTTATTAGTAAGAATGGCAAAAGCTTCCCTCAAAAGCAGCTCTGAACACTGTCACTGTGGGCAAGAGGGTGTTCAGTGTCTTTAAAAATCAGGATGTCAATAAACAGAAATAATGCACTCTCAGAGTTCTGAAAGCAGAAAATAAATCAGTTCTGCCATGATGTTCTAAGTCCAGCCTATGAGTATAACCATCACTTCCTGGGTATTTGATTCCATGAGTTGTAAACAGTTAAATCAGGATCCTTGTCTTTTAAATCCATTAATCTCTACCAACCTGTCTTCGTATCCTGGGGCTTAACCAAGACCAGTATTTTATGTTGAGGTTCATCCCGGTGCACAGTGTAGAAGCAAACAGATGCAGCTTCAAGTTTAACCTGAAAAAAATAATAAAATCACCATTTTCTTCTGTCATCAGCAAGGGCACAGGAAATTACTTAATGATTAATATTAGCACAGTGTTCACTGATAGAACACTCTTATACAGAGGTGAATTTGACAGGATGGGGACACCTTACCCACTCTGAGCTAAACACGAGAGAAATTTGACAAAGGCCCCCACTCTGTCTCTCCCTAGCAGATCCTCTGGTCCCTTGTTCAGCTGTCCATCTAGCCAAGTACTGGTGAAAACCCATTCAGTGGATAGCCTGGCTGCCTCTCCCTTCCATCAGCTTCCTGCCCCAGCAGCCTTCTCCACCCGAATCCCCCCTGGGCCTCAGCCAACCAAAGCAGAGCTCTGTACCCCTGCCTCAGGCTTGCACTTGTCAAGCTGGCCTCAACTGTCCTCTTGGGGCCACTCCATAGAAACAGCCTGAACAAGCCTATGTCCACCCGTGACGCCACTCAGGCTGCCTGCTGCCCTGGCCCCCATCACTGCCAGCATTCTCAAGAGACCCCTGCCTTCTCTGGGCCCTGCAGGCTCAGCGCTGGCTCTGTGGCTGCCGCAGGGCAGAAAACCTCAGAGCTTCATGCCTGATGGCTTGTGATAAAGGCAGACACCAAGCAGCAGGCGCCAGGTCTCTAATGCTGGGACTGTCAGAGCCTTCTCTCAAGGGCCCACATCCCCAAGCCCTCTTTGTGGCCATCAAACCCACCACTCCCAGCTCACATTCCATTGCAAAGTGTGTTTTGAAAATCAAGACAAGGATAAGAAAATGAGAAAAAAATGTGTCGGCTGAGCAAGGCAGGCAGGTTGTTTGTAAAAGTTTACAGCAGGACTCCATGGTTTCAGAGAACTTTTTCTTAACCAACCCTGAGACCCATAAACATCTTGGTGCCCCACCTCCGGCCCCCCATCTTCAGATCACCCTAGTGAAGAGTCCCCAAATAGGCCCTCCCACAGTGGTCATGGGAAACCCAGTTCACCTACCAGAGAGCCATTACAAAACCATTATAAACAATATGTGCAAAGCAGTGGATCAACATAGGAAGATGCTTATTATACACAACCTTGTATTCTGAGAGTGATCCAAATATTTTAAAAAGTACGTGCACACAGAAAAGTCAAATGGGAACACGTCAAAATGTTTATAGCTGCTAACTATGGATGATTTTATTTTCTCTGTCCTTGGCTACAATTCCCAGGTGTTTTACAATGAGCATACACTGTTTTAAAACCAGAAAAATCAAAAGTTTTATGGTATTTTAAATGTGATAGGACAATTTCAAAACTAGAAACAGAGTTAATTATGAAAAGTCTTTTTAGGAAGACCAGAGTGGTATGGCGGGATATATTCCCAGACCGGTTCTCTCATCTTTCTTTTTGTTTGGGAAAATTTCTCTGGATTCCAAAAGAAAACTTAAATTTGGCAAAAGTGATGAGGAGGTCCTATACCACCCCAAATTAGACTGTTTCAACCTGCCTAATGGTAGGAAACAACTACCACTTCTTAATTAACCGCTAAAATGGTAGGAAACCAAATGATTGTTTCCATGAAACTTTTCTTTTTTAGAAAGGGAAGGAGTAATAAGCATTCAGTCATTTCAGCATTTCTGTCACATTAGAACAACTTAATTTTAGCACTGTCCTATTTTATTACGTTTTTGCTAATAACACTATAATTACTCACTGATACTACATTAGCAGTTGGGGTTTTTTTA